ATACATTTGTGTATGGTTTTTCTTTGAGCTTTTGTTTCCATGTGCCAGTGTTCTAGTCATATCAGATATCTCTTTCTTAATACACTTTCTTTATTCTTCTAAGTAAATGCTGGATTCAGGTTTATGCTTGTATATGGGAAGGCATAGGGCTAGAGTTGACATTGGCACAAAGACTCTCCCATGATTTCTCCTTTTCTGTATTCAATTTTGTTTCCATCACTGCTCTGTGAAATATTTTGGATGGTGAGTTTCAAGTTTAAGCTTAGTGAGAATGAGGCTACCCTGGTCTCAATCCTCAGTAAACTATGTCTCCACATAGTTCATCAGACCTCACTACGATTTATTGCTTGGGACTAAGATCCAGCTACTGGTAAAGTGTTGTTCTGCCTTTTATTTGGCTTATTATTTAGAGCAATGATTTACAGAAAGAAGCAGGTGACCAAGATAGGATATTAGTGTTCCTAGTTTCCCTGAACTAACTCCTTCTACCATCTATCTCAAACTTACATTAGATCCAATTGGATCTCTTATGTGAAGCACCTATAATGAATGCATTAGACACCATCGGAGCTGTGTTATACACATTCTTTCTAATCTTCAACAGCTTTGGAAGAAATAAAACTCTGAGATTAAGGAGTGAAATTCTAGACTATTAGGTTGTCAAATGCTCTTACTTCCCAACACTAATGGATACAAAGAAAGACTGATATTGAACAAAAGGATAAATTTTATTTAATTTTTAATCTTTAATCTGATTTAAAATTAATTTATTCAGATTCACTCAACCAGCACCATCACCAACAACCCTAACAGCAAACTTCATGGATAATATTATCTATTTTACAGAAATTGAGGCATAAGAACATTATATGAATTGCTCAAAGTCCAACAGTTTACTTGAGACATAATGGAGGCTAAAACTCAGGGATCACAATTTCATAAATAACTCTTCTGTAACAGCAGGACTCTATATTTGGCTTGAGCAATGATTGATGCTCCCTTTGAGAAAGTGCTTTTTAAAGACACACACATTTGTGCATGGTTATGCCTGAAGTTCTGGGAATGCAGTACAAATAGGGCAGTAATCAAGCAAAGTCACAAAGAGCCAGCTCAGGAAGAACTAGGAAGTCATTAAGATTTCTCTATCCTGGCCATGTCATGGTCAGGAATAAGTAGCAGCTTTCGATAGAGATGTCTGAAAAAAAATCAGAAGGAGGAGTTGTGACTAAGGACTTATAAATCCAAAGGCTTTCCTGACCCAGTGGAAGTTCGTGTGCTGGGTAAACAGAAAAAGTCTAGTGACCATCAAAGTATGTGATTGAAAGAAGTACTAGCTACAATCGATAAGGGCGATTTATTTAAAGTCAATTACTTCAAAGTCAGTGGAATCAATGTTGTTTGTTTTACCTTGAATGCTATGCCCTGTCTTTTTTACATTGTGAGAAATGAAAAGGACCCAGGTAAAATGTCACTTCTGTGAAAGCTTTACTCATTCCATAGTTAGTTACTCCTTTACATGTCTTGCATATTGTTCTGTATTACACATGCAATAATTTACTCATCATGCTTTGCTTGAGTTAGTTTGGTTTCTACCAGGAAGGTAGCCCTACTATAAATAATACAAAATAGAGGATTGATTATGGGGGTAAGCCACACATAAATGTGGGAGGTGAAGAAGTCTAAAAAAAGTTGTCCCTTCAGCATCTGGCAGTAGACCTAAAGTCATTGAAGGCAGGCAAAGCCAGCAGTCAGGGAAAAAATGTGCAAGTGAAAATGGGGACAGAAAGGAATACCTGGAATCTGTAAGGAAAACAAGAACTTATGAGGGAAACTGGAACCCATATCTGTACTGCCTCCAACATCAGCAATGCAGTTGGCTGTGAAAAGAAGCTGATGTCCTTTTCCACGAGACTAAATGCTCATCTGGGTATAGATTTAGAGAAGATGAAACAGAAAATCCAGCAGAGGTGATGGAGCTACTCCAAGCCTAGCTGCTGCCCCATCATAGCAATTAAATCCAAACCTCAGCAATAACGTAGAAACTTGCAATGATTTTGTCACTGGAAACCAACAGTTGTTGGGTAACAATGGCTGTTCTACTTCCATATTCTATATCATGATCAATTTTCCTTGTGTCAAACCTAACCTGATTTGTATAATGAAGGGGATCCCAGAAAGATACAGCTTAATTAAGTTGACACGGTTAAAAAAAATTTAGACTATAATCTCAAAGAGATATTGCATGCCTTGGATTATTTTTATAACATCAAAAAGTACATAATCTTGTTTCTGAAAGATGGTTGCAACTTGTGACATTTTAAAAAAGTCAGCCTCCAAATTATGTGACATCCAGTGACGTCTGTGTATCCTCCACTTGAATCTGTGATCTGCTATTTCTTGACCAATAGAATTCAGCAGAAGTAACACTGTGCCAATTTTGGGGGTCAAGGCCTAAGGAAAGGTACCTTTTACTTCCTGCTTCCTAGAATACTTGCTTTTAGAACTCAGCCATGCTGGAAGAAAGCCCAAGCTACATGGTGAGATTGTGTATAAGTGATTAGCTCCAGCTGAAGTCCCAGTGGATCACCTGCTAGACATGAAAGTGCAGAGTTCTTTGCAATGTCTTGAACTTAGCAACAGTCTGAACGAAACTGAAACATTAATTTGGGGATAATTTGTTATAAAAATAGATATTTGAATAGATTACAATACTAAATGTGGTATGTTACAATAATTTTTAAAAATTGACATTGGCTTTAAGATTGAGCAATGGGAAGGAGATAGACCTAGAGGAGGCTGCTAGCAAAAGCCTAAAATATTTCAAGGAGGCTTTCATAGAGAGCTTAGAGTAAAGTAAGAATGGGACAATGTTTCTGGAAGCTGGAGGAAGGAGGATACTTGTGTGGTGGCAGAAAGTCTGCCAACACTGTCACTTGTGGTGATGTCACAGTTAGGAAATGCAACTAAAGATCTCAAGGATCTGGTTAAGATTTCAGTGTGTTGGTAAAATGCTAAATGAAAAGCATTCGGAGCTTGCTGAATTTTAAATTAAAGTTGTTTTCAATTCCCAGTCTCTCTGGACAGCAAATGATTCTAAAATTGCACATGGCTTAGGTCGAAGATCAAATACAGGGTAGGATGTTCTGCCACCTAATGACAATTTAAGCAGTGGCTCCTGAAAATTTCCAAACAAATAAAAGAGCCTCTGAGGATGTTAAGGTGACACCTCACAGGTCCTTTCCATTAAACGGTAGGGCTTCCAAGAATTTATTTTCTATTATCAGCTTCACCAGAATCTCAAATTGGAGAAAAGAAAAGCTTTCCTAAAAGAATTTTGTGATTTGGCTTAGTCTAATCGAGTGAACCCACATAAGAATAAAAAAAAAATTCACAAAGATTTTAAAATAAATTTCTGTTAGAAGCACCACCTACTTGGAATAAAAGAAATAGAGGCTGTATAAAATAAAAAGGGTGTTGAGAAGCAGGCTAAGAAGTTTCATTTGTTGCAAAGTCAATTTTCTTATGAAAAACGATGAATGACTTACAGAAAGCAACCATGAACTTTGCGCACAGAGCCGAAGTCTGGAAGAATCACTGTTATGAAGGAGTAAAGGGCCTACAGAACATGTGCCTGGCTGGATTTCAGAATTGCTATGGCCCAGTAACTGGCTGTACTCTCTGTTTTCTCTCTTTCTCTGAGACAGAGTCAGTAGCAGTTATTCTGTATCTATGCCATTGTTGCATTTGAGTGTGATGTTGGAGCAGGGATGAGGGGGAGTGGTCAGATAACTTGTCCCTATTTTATACATTTTTAGATTGAGAGAACCCAGAAACCAAGGATCTGCATTTTAAAGAACTAATTTAAATAAAAATATTTCAACCTTGAGGCTGAGTCTGACACCAATATGCTATTAAATTCTTGAGAGATCTTGCGAATGAGTATATTTTACATTTTGGAGAAATGTTCATAATTTGAAGTTGGTGGCCAGACTCTGGTGGTTTTCAAAACTTACTGTGATATTCTTTGATATTGCACCTATTGAGCAATGGGGTCTATGTTCCCTTGAAACTGGGCTCTGTTGCTGCCATTCTAACAGATTACAGCAAAAGGGACAGTCTGACAGCTTTCAGGCTCAGGCTATAAGAACTCAGCCACTTTGACTTCCTGCACTTGGGATAGTGGCTATTGGAACCCAGGTACCTTGTTTTAAGGATGAAGCAGTTACATGGTAAGGTCTTAGGTAGGCGTTCCATTCCCAGTTTTGATCCTTGCCAATAGTCAATATCAACAACCAGGCATGTGCTTGTAGAGGCTTTTGGCATAACTAAAGTCCTACTCACTGTCTAGATGAAAATGCACAAAAGTAAGAAACATGATGCTAAGTATAATCAAACCCCGGAATTTTGAGACATACTAATAAATATTATTTTAATCCTTAAGTTATGGGAAAATTTATTATACAACGATCCATAGCTAGAGTAGCATTTAATAGTCTTTCATGAATGAGTGAAATAACTAATGATAAACTCAAGTTTTTTTTACTAATAATCATATTTTATGAAATGCTTAATGTCCTTTGAAACTGAATATTCAAAGGTCAACTAATTTTTTCTAAGACATGAAATTATTTCTTTAATTTTTCATTCTCATCTATTTCCTACTATATCATTGAGAAGTTATTACAAATGACACATTGATTAAGAATTTTGTCTGTGATTTTCATTATGCAAATTATAGACTGGTCCTGCTGTCTGAGTGTTGAAAATGTAGTCTGAATGCACTAGGAAATAAGTAGCATATAAAAGAATAACTAGATTCACTAGAAAAATATTTTAATATATACGTAAATATGTGATTCAGTTGTAATTTTTTTTGTTTTAACGTAAATCAAGTGATGATAATAAATGTTTATAACATGCATTTTAGTGTTCCAGGATGCAACACTTAAAATATGCTTTTTTTGTCCACGACTCAATATTCCACTTAGGGATCAAGATTTAAAAAGCATGAAATAGGTTCATACAGTGTCGTGTACAGGAAGATAAATTATACTCAAAATCTGGAAACTTTAGTTCTTGATCAAGGATTAGCAAATGTTTTCCTTGAAGAGTCAGATAGTAAGTAGTTTAGGCAAGGCAAGACCTACCATCTCTGTTGCAGCTCCTCATCTCTGCTGTTGTAACGTGAAAGCAGCCATAGACAGTAAGCAAATGAATGAGTAAAGCTCTGTTCCCTTAAAAGTTTATGCTCAAAAGCAAGTGGACAATTAGATTAATCCTGCTGCTAGTAGTTTGCTACTACTCTTGTTTTAGACTTCACCTTGCCATTTGTTAGTGTGTAACCCAAGGATAAATCAAACTTAGAGTTTCATTTTTCTTATCAGTGAAGTGAGAATAATAGCAGCAACCTCCTTGACATTCCCAGTATGAGGAAACAAGAAAATGCTTATGAACATTTTTGGAACTGTCTATTGTGTGGTAGATAGACATGTTAAGTTACTTGCCATTATTTTATTTTTTCAAATCTCCTGGCTCTGTTCTTTTAGCTATTTTACTTTGGCTTCTTGTGAAATGGGAAATCATGGTTACTCTTTTTCATTTTGGGTTGGCAAGAAATTTTGGGGGTGTGGGAGTCTTCAGCTCTCTTGGTCTTAATATAAGCAGTCATCGTCATTCCATGGCTTTTGATATGCTACTTTATCAATTGTCCTTCCCTGCCTGTTATCTAAATTAGCTGTCACCGCTTTCTTTGTTACACCCTGCTTCATTTTCTTTATAGTACTTATCACAGAAATTATCTTGTTCTTTTAAATCTTCTCCTCATAATTATCTGTCAGCCCCATTATGATATCAATTTGATTATTTTCTGATTTACTTAGTAATATATCCTCAGCACTGAGGAATGTTCTTGCCATATATTACAGGTTTGACACACATTTGTTGAATGAATTAAATGAATTAAACATACAATATTATCTCATCCTCTAGGCAAAAGTAGAAGTTCTGCTGTGTATCTGGCCTGGTCACTGTAGTTTCTGGAGTCTGGATTAGACATTTTACTTTCATATTACTTAGCAGATTAAATATATCTACTATAATATTTAAAATTTTATAAGAATATTGATGGAAAGTAATTGGAAATGCTTTCAGTATTGAATAAAAAGTATACACGGTGCATTCACTTGAGCATAATCATCTATCTGGTGCTTAATGATACTATTTACAGAAAGTGTCTCATTTCTGCTTATTTGGTTATTATAGTTCACTTCAACAACAGTGTGCTTTGTCAGCTGCATGTCTGCAGACAGTGTGCCAATATGGTGTTTTCCAAATGCCTTATATACTGTAGTTGCCAATCTTCTGTGTATCTCTCTCTCTCTCTCTCTCTCTCTCTCTCTCTCTCTGACTTGATTCTCTTTGGGAAGGGAGTGAGGCTCAGGGGTCACTATTTTTTTTTTTAATTGAACATGCACTTGCCAAATTGAGTTTAAGCTGAAGACTGATTGCCTTTTGCAGAGAAACATAGATACTATTGTACCATGTAACACCCTCACTCACCCACACTGGGTAAAGCAGATCAGAATTTCACTCAGTATCCATTTCAGCACCTGTAATATGTTGGTGCAAAAGCCTTAGCATTCATTACATGCTTACTGAACCTAACACAGATTTTCTGAAGGACACTGAAAAATAGAAACAAGGGCAGGTTGCAGGGTCACCTTTAAATCAGATGTTTTTAAAAAGTTGGATTCCTAAAGCCTAAGGAGGTGTAGGTCTTCATGAAAGGCATAGAAAATCTGTTTTGGGTCTTTTCATCTTTAAATGTTGATGATCCAGTGAAAAGTCAGATGTTTAAGGTCTTACTTAACAGAACTGTGGTGAAGAGGCCATGGCTTTAACATAGATTATATGTGAGTTCTATGTAGTTAGAGAAAGCAGAGGAAATTGTTTTTTATATGTTCTTGCCATTTTTTTTTTTTGGCCTCCTCTGTGTTTCTAATTTAATCTGGCAGCACTCACTGAAGGTGTGGTAAGAGATAAAGCGTGACGGTTGTTTAGGCTGGCTTGCCAAGTGATTTGAAAGCTTCTTAAGGATTTTGAATGCTGTCTTGAAGGTAACTGGTAGACACTGACAGGTTTTAGACAGTAAATTACTTTGTCAAGTTTACAATTTAAAAGCTACCTCTGGCTACAGCGTGGGAGATAAATTGGAGTATACTGAGAATAAAAGCAAGGAGAAGAATTGGGAGCCTGCTGCCACTGTCTAGAAGAACCATAGTATCTCTGAAATAGCAAACAGGAGTCCTGTGAAGAGACTGGGGAAGGAAGAGCCCGGTGTGGAGAAAAGTGATTTGGGGGAAACTTCTTCTCAGTGGTGGCTTTTGAGCAGGGCCTGACATCCATCTTGGTTTTTTAGTATGTCCCGAGAGCTCTAACTGCTACCCACTGAAACTCTACCACCCCTAGGTAGGGAAGGGTCTGCAAAAGTTAACCCGATCGTAATCTATTCTGAAATAACTAAAAGGAAAATTGCCTTGAGTCTTAGCTTGGTCCAAGGAAGCTCAGTTCAGATGTTTGCTAGTTCTTTATATCAGATTGCTAATACGACTCAGTATATTTAAGGGAAAACACACACACACACACAGAGAACCTGCAAGTCCCATGCATTGTGTGTCAATTATAGAACTGACTGGCACAACCACGGAGATGGGAGCTATCCACCCCTGCAAATTCCTACCTTGGAAGCTGCCCTTCTCAGATCCTACACTTCCTCTTCCCTAACAGTCATTACAATGTCACTAGAATGTGAGGAGGGCAGGGCAGGAAGCTGAGTCAAAAATCTCAGGGAAGCTAAAACATGGTGAAATTTATAAACCTTAGGATTCATATCTTAGGTGGGGTTGGGCTGTGTGATCTAAAGTGGGAAGCATTGAGTCACTGCATTTTGAATAATGACTGGAGGCTCATCCCACAGTATGCCACTTCAATTACAACTGTGGGCTTCTGAATCTCTGATTTCTAAACACTGTGGTCTTGCATCATACACCCATTTGATTTATATGATTAAACTATGCACGCTGGCAAATAATGACAGTATAACAATCATGATGTTGGTAATAATGATAATGAAAGAGGAAGAGAGATGGAATATGACAACGAAAGGAGCACAGGCGATTCTCCCCTTCATTTTTGTCCCTCTGAATATGTCCTTGATTGAGTGTGACAAGTGAGAGAGAAATGAGCTGTTGCTTCAGTTGTCTGATTCGTATAGTAAATATTCATATTTCTTCCTGCTTCCCATGTTCCTTAGAAGAAAATTAACAATGTCTTCTACGTTCAAGAAAACAGAGTGATTTGTGTGTACACGAGAGGGAAAGCTGATTGCGTTCGTTACATGGATAAAAAATAATAGTGAAAATGGCCGTACTGCCCAAAGTAGTTGATGGATTCAATGCTATACCCATCAAGCTGCCAATGACTTTCTTCACAGAGTCGGAAAAAACTACCTCAAACTTCACATGGAACCAAAAAACAGCCTGCAGAGCCAAGACAATCCTGAGCAAAAACAAACAAACAAAGCTGGGGGTATCATACTACCTGACTTGAAACTATCTTATGAGGCTACTTAATCAAAACAGCAGGGGACTGGCACCAAAACAGAGATATAGGCCAACGGAGCAGAACAGAGGCCTCAGAAAGAATGCCGCACAATTACCACCATCTGATCTTTGACAAACCTGTCAAAAACGAACAATGGGGAAAGATTCCCTATTTATTAAAGAGTGTTGGGAAAACTGGCTAGCCATATACAGAAAGCTGAAACTGGATCCCTTCCCTACACCTTATACAAAAATTAACTCTAGATGGATTAAAGATTTAAACATGAGATCTAACACCATAAAAACTCTAAAAGAAAACCTAGGCAATACTATTCAGGACATAGGCATGGGCAAGGACTTCATGAATAAAACACCAAAGCAATGGCAACAAAAGCCAAAATAGACAAATGGGATCTAATTAAACTTAAGAGCTTCTGCACAGCAAAAGAAACTATCAATAGAGTGAACAAGCAACCAACAGAATGGGAAAAATTTTTGGCTATCCATCCATCTGACAAAGGGCTAATATCCAGAATCTACAGAGAACTTAAAACAAATTTACAAGAAAAAATCAAACGACCCCATCAAAAAGAGGGCAAAGGATACCAACAGACACTTTTCAAAAGAAGACATTTAGGCAACCAACAAACATATGAAAAAATGCTCATCATCACTGGCCATTAGAGAAATGCAAATAAAAAACACATTGAGATATCATCTTACCCCAGTTAGAATGGCTATCATTAAAAAATCTGGAGACAACAGATGCTAGAGAGGATGTGGAGAAATAGGAACTTTTACACTGTTGGTGGGAGTGTAAATTAGTTCAACCATTCCGGAATACAGTGTAGTGATTCCTTAAGGATGTAGAACTAGAAATTCCATTTGTTCCAGCAATCCCATTACTGGGTATACATCCAAAGGATTTTAAATTATTCTATTATAAAGACACATGCACACGTATTTTTATTGAGGCACTGTTCTCAATGGCAACGACTTGGAAGCAACCCAAATGTCCATCAATGATAGACTGAATAAAGAAAATGTGGCACCATGAAGTACTACGCAGACATAAAAAAGGATGAGTTTATGTCCTTTGCAGGGACATGGATGAAACTGAAAACCATCATTCTCAACAAACTGACACAAGAACAGAAGATCAAACACTGCATGTTCTCACTCATAAGTGGGTGTTGAACAAAGGACACACAGACACAGGGAGGGGAACATCACACATCAAGGCCTGGGGGTGGTGGGGTAGGGGAGGAATAGCAGGGGGTGGGAGGATTGGGGAGGGATAGCATTAGGAGAAATACCTAATGTAGATGACAGAGCAATGGATGCAGCAAACCACCACCATGGCAGGTGTAGGCCTATGTAACAAACCCGCACGATCTGCACATGTACCCCAGAACTTAAAGTATAATAAATAAATTTAAAAAAATAACAGAATTGTATTTTTTCACTGTTCCAGAGACCAGAAGTTCCAGATCAAGGTGTCAATAAGGTTGGCTCCTTATGAAAAGTTTGAGGAAAAATCAGTTATGTATCTCTTCCCTGGCTTCTGATAGTTTTCTGGCAATTTCTGTATTTCTTAGCTTGTTAGCATCACCCCAAACCCTGACCCCTTCATTCACATGGTATTCTCTTTGTGTAGGTGACTCTGTGTCTAAATTTCCCCTTTTTATAAGGACACCATAGTCTTGGATTAGAGGCCTACTCTACTCCGGTACAACCCCATGATAACTAAATCTATCTGTAATGACCCTATTTCTAAATATGATCCTATTCTGAGGTATTTGGTGTTAAGGCTTCAACATAGGAATTTTCTGGGGACACAATTCAACCTTTAACAGAAACCCTCCATTGTTGAAGCACCCAATGAACGTAGAAAATTTGCAGGAAATTCAGGCTGAGTGACAAATGAGCATCCCAAAGATTGTATTGTGGTCTCGGTAAGGAGTTGGTTCTATACATGACAATAAACAGAATTTTCTCTTTTCAGAGAGTAGACTCAGCCTGCAAGTCTTGAGTTTCTGCTGTTTCCACTAAAGTAGGAGTGCTACTCTGAAGCACAACACAGCCTTGGTTACACCCTCCACAGCATCCGCGAGGACACAAACAAGAGAACTTGACTGACAGCCATTATGCATAATTGACTAAGCAAGAATCTAACTGCTGGCTTGCTCTCCCTCTGCATATAGGATCCTCATGGGGGCGCGATTCCAGGAATACGCCTGCCAGGCCCCGTCCTGGGCCACCTGTGTGTCTTGAATCATTCATTACAAGGTGTCCTCAACTCAACTTGCAAAATTGAAGTGTCTTAAGCAAGTTAAAGAACTCTGCAGAGAAGTGGCATGGTGCCTCAGTAAAGCCTCGTGAGAAATAGACAATGATCAGGTTCAGGCTTTGGGGCAAAAAGAATTAATGAGCTTCAGTGGGAGTGACACTCCGACTTGCCGTTGTCAGGACATCACCCCACATTACCCCTCATCTTCTGTCTCCCACAGAAGGCCTCGCTTCCAAGCTGGATTTGAGTCACTATCATTATCCTCGGAACAGACTTTCTCACAGTTCTTTTTTGCAGACGGTAACATACTGGGGTTAATTTTAGATATCACCAACTTGGAATTTATTTTGGATTCCAGAAGTTTACATTTAGGTCTGCTAAAACGCACAACCTGCAGGGGTGGGTGTATGTGTGTGCACGCGCGTGCGCGTGAAACCCATCAACTTTCTTTAATAACTCTGAATATGAGTTATTTCAGAGTATTTTCAATGGATTGCTAATTTTGTGCCAAAATTAAAATGAAATTTTAAACCAAAAGAACTTACAGATGAATTGCAGAGCTCATTTGCTTTTTACCACATTCTTTCAATTGTGATTTTTTTATCCATATATAATGTGTGTGTGTGCATATATATATATATATATATATATATATATTTGCCACACTTCAGTTTCTAAAGCTTTATTTTTGGTCATTGTAAGACACAGCATGACCGAATGTGCTATGTTCTAATCTTCATAACAATTCTGTAGGTTACCTCAGTTTCTTAGAAATTAGAAAACAGAGGCTCAGAGAGAGGTGACTTAACTTGCTGAAGGCCATTGGGCAGGAGAGTGGCAGAGCGGGCATTGTGATGATGCTTCCTTGTTTCCAGGCTTGTGCTGTTTCCATTAGCACCGTTTCCTCAGGGCTCTATGCTTAGGCACAGTTCGCAGAAGGGCATTTCCTAATGGAAGCTCCCAAACGACCGTGTATGCCACCGTGTGGGGTGAAATGAACCTATGTGATGGATAGAATCTTCAGATAGCTTGAAGAAGTTAAAATATGGACTCCTCAGACACATTCAACCAAATCATATTTGGTAGCAAGCACTGGGAATGCAAATTTCTGTGCACATAGCCCACAAGTTTGCAATGATTGGCCAATGGTGTGATATACAGACATAGTAGAACTATCATTAGATTTGAATGTAGAATGTGTGGAGTTTTGCTCTGGCTCTGTTATTAGCTGGGTATTTTAAAGGAAAACAGTTCATCTCTCTGGGTCTTTCTGCATTCAAAAAATGAGGAAAAAATCATTTCGTTGTGAGAATAACATATCAAATATTTGAAAGCACTTTATGACGTACAATAAAGTATAAATGAAGCTTTAGGCTTCCTGAAAAGTCAGACGTAGAATAAACTTTCACTTATCAAATCATATTTTCCTCTAATAAGTTCCATCATTTCAATGAGTTGTTCAAGGGGGGAAAATGTCTGGGTTCTCACATGGAATCAGAATAACATTTAAGAATGGCTTAATACTGGATTCAGAAAGGATTTATCTGTTATGGTTCCATAGATCCTGTGCTCGTCATTTTCCTTCAATAATCTAGCAAAGAATTAATGGCACTCAAAATCAATCCACCTGCACTTTGCACATATTTTAAATACCCATTAAAACAAATAGAACCAAGTCAATAAATATTTTTTTTAACACTGCTGCCAACTGAAGTTTCATTAGCTATAATCACACTTAACCTTCAAATAGCAGGCCCAGTGTCTCCTAATTTCTTAGTCAGTCTGGGTAAAGCCTGACATTATATAGGAGCCTTGGCTAGGTATGATTCACAGTTGATTATTGGTTCAAATCCAGAGACTTAATATTAAATTTCATAGTACAACTCCAAATGCCTATGGGTAAGCCCTCTGCATACGTTTCTGAGCAGAGCCCAACCCCCTATACCCCTTCAAAGGCACTTTCCCTGTCTCTTGAATTTCTTATCTTTTCAAATTTTGCCTGATTATAAATCTTTTGGCTATTACTCAGACCTCCAGTCTAGGTCTCATTACCTCCATTTCTTCGGCACTTCATACCACTTCCTGTAACCTCTGGCATCCTCTTGGAATAACAGTGGAATCCTTTTCCAAATCAGACAGGCCATCTTGAGCAAGAACCAGCCTTATCTTGAAAACAAGACTTCTCAGATTCTCCCTGATCTGTATTTTATTTTCTAATTCTTCTGGACTACATTATGACCTGGATCCTGTCTCTTCTCATTTATTCGTGTTTATGACTTGAGCAATTCTTTCCTCTCCTATGTCACCACTGTTTTTTCTTTCTGTTAGATCAGTCACATCAACATACTAGCATGCAGTGTTATCATAAAACAACAGGGCAAATTTTTGGTGTCATATACCTTCTGGCTCCAGTCCCATTCCACTGCTCGTTTGTAGTAAAGCTCTTTAAAAAGTGTTTTCTGTGCTCATTCTTCATTTGCACTTCTCCTTTTTTCTGAACCTGTTATTAACCCACCAGATCTTGAAAATGTCCTTGTCTGTCACTTAGTACCTTCTCTATTACTAAGTCCAGTGGCTAATATTCTCCTTGCATACCCTTTTGCAGCATAACATAGTGATCTAGCTCATCTTAGACTATATTCCCTTTTTAGCTCTCAAGATATCACTCTCATTTCCCTTTGTACCTTACTTTTCCTCCTCATTTTCCTCTACAAGTTTATTTTCATTTCTTCACTTTCTTACTACAAGATTGCCAATGAGTTAGATCTGGTTTCTCTCTCTTTCTCCTTCTTTATCTCTCTCCACCCTGTCAGATTTGTTGTGATGTTATTGTAATGCCATTTCTAGTCAGAATAAAACTCACCTTTTCTTCATGTTTGGTCTGTAACATTTGACAGAGACACACACATTCATGTATCCACCACTACAATGGAGATGTAGAACCCCTAAAAGTTCTTGAATGCCCTGTTGGAGTAATTCCCCCTCATTTCTGCAAGCCCATAGCAGCAAGTGGTATATTTTTATATGCCCATTGTTTTCATTCTCCAGGATGTCATAGAATCAGAATCATCAGCATCGTATTGCAGTCATTCAGTCTGGCTTCTGTTTGATATAGTGCATTTGAGGTTTTTTTTTTTCATGCATTCTTTGCTTGGTAAATCCTATTAACTTACATGGATTTACCATATTCTGTTTTCACAACACTTGATAGATATTTGGGTTGTTTTTAGTTTTTGGCAATTATGAATGAGCACATTCAGATACATTATTTGTTTTGTTTGAACATATATTTTCAGTTTTCCCTGGTAAATATTTAAAAGAAGTAGAATTAATGGGATAATATTACAAGTATGTGTTTATAAGAAAATACCAAACTGTTTTCCCAAATTGCTATACCATTTTTCATTTGCACTAAACATGAGGGTTCACATTGCTTTACATTTTTATATTATACCATTTTTGCATTCTCACTAGCCGTGAATGAGAGCTCATGTTGCTTTAAATCAGCTTGGTGTTGCCAATTTGTTTCATATATTATAATAGACTTTATATATTAGGATTGGTATAGTGTGCCAACTCAAAGTTACAACGATTATATTCCATTTTTCTAAATGCTTTTTGGTTTTAAGTTATATATTTATATCTATGATTAATTTTGAGTTAAGTTTTGTATACGGCGTGATGTATGAGTAAAGGACTTGTTTTGCACAGTTGCTCCAGCATTATTGAAAAAACTAACAATTTTCCACCGTATTGTCTTGTATTTGTTGAAAATAAATTGACCAGATATAAGTAGGTCAACAGAATTCCATTAATTGTACATCTAGTCTTTAATTCAGAGCTTAGCAAAACCTTCTCCATTGCCTCTTTTTATGTGATCCAAAATTTAAGAATTTCTTTTACGTTTTCAAATGATAAGAAAATCAAAAGATGAATAATATTTTATGACACTTGAAAATTGTATAAAATTCAAATTTTAATTTCCATAGAGTTTGACTGGAACATACTCATGCTTATTTGTTTATATATTGTTTGAGTCTGCTTTCACATTAAATAGCACCGTAATTGTGATGGAAAACCTATGGCCACATAGCTAAAATATTTACTCTCTGGGAAATATATAAAATAAAATACCATTCCTGTTTTCACTGATACCACACATTCTTTCTTTTTTTTTTTCCTTCGAGACACAGTCTCGCTCTATCACCAAGGCTGGAGTGAGGTGGCACGATCTTGGCTCACTGCAACTTCTGCCTCCAGAGTTCAAGAGATTCTCCTGCCTCAACCTCCTGAGTAGCTAGCATTACAGGCGCCTGCCACCATGCCTGGTAAATTTTTGTCTTTTTAGTAGAGACGTGGTTTTCCTATGTTGGCCAGGCTCATCTTGAATTCCTGACCTCAGATGATCTGCCCACCTCAGCCTCCCAAAGCGCTGGGATTACCGTGCCCAGTCCACATTTGTGATTGCTGTAACTTTACAGTCAGTTTTGAAATCAAGTAGTATGAGTCCTCGGTCTTTGTGCTTTATCAGAGTTGTTTAAAGTATTTTAGTTACTTTTATTTTCCATATAAATTATAGTTAGTCTGTCAATCAAAAAATTTATTTCCTATAAAAGATGTAACATACATATATTTTAATGTAGAATTTTCTAATTGTAAGAAGAAAGTTGGTCCCTATTTCTTGGAATTAAGCAAAGGAGGGAGGCAAGGAGGGAGAATGGGAGTAGGAACATGCCATTTGAAATATATAATACTTTAAATATATATTATATATTAAATACATATATTTATATTTAAAATACATAATTTATATATAAATATTATGTAATATATATACCTGAGGGGTAAGTATGTGTGTGTGTGTGTGTGTGTGTGCATATATATATATATATATATATATATACGTATGAACACCTGTGGGCATTTTGATTTTGATTGTGCTGAATCTGTGGACCAATTTGGGTAGACTGGCATCTGAGCACTATTGAATCTTTCAACGCATAAGCATGATGTATTTCTCTATTTTCTCAGATCAACATTGTCTACTTTCATCAGCATTTGCACTTCTCAGTACAAATGTGAATCTTGCATATATTTTCATTAAGTTTTTCCTAATAAGAACTTATGCTTTGATGCTATTTAAATAGTGCTGTTTTGAAATTTCAATTTTCATTTGTTCACTGCTAGTATAGAGAAATACAATTGATTTTTCTATATTAATCTTGTATCCTATGACCTTGCTAAAATCATTTATTACTCCCAGTAGTTTTTTTTTTTTTTAATAGATTCTTAGGGATTTTCTATGTAGACAATCATTTTGTCTGCAGAGAGAAATAGGATTATGTATTCCTTCTCATTTGGTATGGCTTTTCTTTTTTTTCTTTTTTAATCTTTTACTTTAAGTTGTGGGATACAAGCGTAGAACGTGCAGGTTTGTTACCTAGGTATACATGTGTCATGGTTGTTTGCTGCACCTATCAACCCATCTCCTAGGTTTTAAGCCCTGCATGCATTAGCTATTGGTCCTGATGCTCTCCCTCTCCTCACCCCTCATCCTCTGCAGGCCCTGGTGTGTGTTATTCTCCTTCCTGTGTCCATGTGTTCTCATTGTTCAACCATCATTTATGAGTGAGAACATGTGGTGTTTGGTTTTCTGTTCCTATGTTAGTTTGCTAAGGATGATGGCTTCCAGCTTCATCCATGTCCCTGCAAATGACATGTTCTCATTATTTTTATGGCTGCATAGTATTCCATGATGTATATGTGCCATATTTTCTTTATCTAGTCTATCATTGATGGGCATTTGAATTGGTTCCATGTCTTTGCTATTGTAAACAGTACTGCAATAAACATATGTGTGCATGTGTCTTTATAGTAGAATGATGTATACTCTTTTAGGTATATACCTCTTATTGGGATTACTGCATCAAATGATGTTTCTGATTCTAGATCCTTGAGGAATCATCAAACTCTCTTCCGCATTGGTTGAACTAATTTATGTTCCCACCAGCAGTGTAAAAATTTTCCTATTTCTTCACAGCTTCACCAGCATCTATCATTTCTTGACTTTTTAATAATCACCATTCCAACTGGCATGAGATAATGTCTCCTTGTGGTTTTGATTGGCATTTCTCTGATGATCAGTGATGTCGAGCTTTCTTTCATGTTTCTTGACCACATAAATGTCTTTTTTTGAGAAATGCCTGTTCATATCCTTTGTCCACTTTTTTTTCTTGAAAATTTGTTTAAGTTCCTTGTAGATTTTGAATATTAGACCTTTGTCAGATGGGTAGTTGGCAAAAATTTTCACCTATTCTGTAGGTTGCCCGTTCACTGTGATGATAGTTTCTTTTGCTGTGCAGAAGCTCTTTAGTTTAATTAGATCCCACTTGTCCATTTTGGCTTTTGTTACAATTGCTTTTGGCATTTCTGTTGTGAAGTCTTTGCACATGCCTGTGTCCTGAATGGTATTGCGTAGGTTTTCTTCTAGGGTTTTTATAATTTTGAGTTTTACATTTAAGTCTTCAATCCACCTTGAGTTAATTTTTGTATAAGGTGAAAGGGAGGGGTCAAGTTTCAGTTTTCTGCATATGACTTGCCAGTTTTCCCAGCACCAATTATTGAATAGGAAATCCTTTCCCCATTGTTTGTTTTTGTCAGGTTTGTCAAAGATCAAGTGGTTGTAGATGTGTGATGTTATT